ATGGTATTAAAGGGACAGTGGCAGCGGATACAGAACTGCCTGGGAGACAGAAAGCAAAGAGTAGTGGTGAACGGTTGTTGTTCAGACTGGAGGGAGGTGTGCAGTGGTGTCCCCCAGGGGTCAGTATTGGGACCACTGCTGTAAATGACCTGGATTTGGGTAAAGGGAGGACAATTTCCAGATTTGCAGATGATATTAAGTTAGGAAAAGTAGTAAACAGTGAGGAGGACAGTAACAGACTGCAAGAGGACATAGACAGACTGGTAACATGGGCAGACACGTGGCAGATGAAGTTTAATGTGGAGAAATGAGAAGTTATGCATTTTGGGAGGAAGAATGAGGAGAGGCAATATACGCTGATGGGACAATCTTAAAGGGGGTGAAGGAACAGAGAGACCTGGGGGTCATATACTACAACAACAACAACAAGATTCCATTTATAGAGCGCCTTTCACGTCGGGAGGACGTCCCAAGGCGCTGCACAGTTGGGTCATGACCCGAGCAGGGGGGAAATGGTCAGGGTGAGGGGAGGGAAGGGAGGGAGCGAGGAGGAGGAAGAGAGTCGAGAGGGGAGCTGAAGGCACGGTCAAAGAGAAAGGTTTTGAGACCGGCCTTGAAGGAGGAAAGGGAGGAAGCAAGGCGAAGGCACTGGGGGATGGAGTTCCAGAGCCTCGGGGCTGAGAGGCTGAAGGCCCGACCACCGATAGTAGGGCGGTTGGGCGGGGACGTGGAGCAGACCGGAGCCAGAGGAACGGAGGGTACGGGCAGGTAGGTAGGGGGATAGTAGGTTGGAGAGGTAGGAGGGAGCAAGGCCGTGAATGGCCTTGTAGGTGAGGATGAGGATCTTGAAATCAATCCTCTGGGGGATGGGGAGCCAGTGGAGGCGAGCGAGGGTGGGAGTGATGTGATCGCGAAGCCTGGTGCGGGACAGTACACGAGCTGCAGAGTTCTGAATGACCTGCAGCTTGTGGAGGGAGGTGGCGGGAAGGCCGGCGAGGAGAGAGTTCCCATAGTCCAGCCTTGAGGTGACAAAGGCGTGAACCAGGGTTTCAGCGGCGTGAGGGGTGAGGTAGTGCCGTAATCTGGCGATATTCCGGAGGTGATGGAAGGCGGTGCCAGTTGTGGTGCGGATGTGAGGGAGAAAGGACAGCTCAGGGTCGAACAAAACGCCGAGGTTCCTGATGGCTTTGAGAGGTGGAGAGTGCAGCCTTGGATGAAGGTGAAATCTTTGAAGGCTTTGAAGCCTTGGATGAAGGTGAAATCTTTGAAGGTGGCAGGACAGGCAGATAAAGCTGTTAAAAAAGCATCCTGGATACTAGGCTTTATAAAGACGGGCATAGAATACACAAGTCAGGAAGTTATGATGGATCTTTATAAAACACTGGTTAGGCCTCAGCGAGAGACTGTGTTCAGTTCTGGGCTCCACACTGTAGGAAGGATGTCAAGGCATTAGAGAGGGTGCAAAGGAGATTTACCAGGATGGTACCAGGAATGAGGGACTTTAGTTATTAGGAGGCGAGAGAAGCGAGCATTATTCTCCTTGGAGCAGAGAAGGTTAAGAGGAGACTTAATAGATGTTTTCAAAATTATGAGGGGATTCAATAGGGTGAACAAGGAGAAACTATTTCCACTGGCGGGTGGGTCGGTAACCCGAGCACACCGATTTAAAATAGTTGTTAAAAGAAAGATGGGCGGTGAGGAGATATTTTTTGACACAGCGAGTTGCTCGGATCTGGAATTCATTGCCTGAAAGCGTGGTGGAAGCCGATTCAATAACAGCTTTTAAGAGAAGTAGATAATTATTTGGGGAGGATAAATTTGCAGGGCTATGGGTGTAGCGCAGAGGAATGGGATTGATTTGGATAGCACTTTTCAAAGAGTCAGCACAGACACGATGGCTGTATAATTCTATGATTCTATGAAGTGTAGCTCCTGTGGTAACTTAGACATTTGAGTGGGAAGGGGGAAAAAGCGGAGGAATAGAGACAAATTGAAAGGAGCATCTCACAAGAGAACGACTAAGAGACAGAGAGAGAGAGGTTGGATGAAGTCGGCCCTTTGGCTCATCTGATCTAATCCATCCTTCATCACAGCATCAAGCTGCTTTTTAAATGAGTCGAGTTTCCTGACCTGGTACTACTACTAGCATCCTGTTTCAGACGTGAATTAACCTAGAGTAGTTTTAAAGGCTTCCCCAGGTTAGGCTGAGACAACAGAAAGCTTCTGACCACTTTCCAGTGCCTTGTGACATCCTCCGAACTTGAAAGGCGCTATACAAACATAATGTTGTAGTAAACAATATGTTGCAGTGCAAAGCTCCATTCGGCCATAATTTGACTACTGAATGAATACTCTTGTTCAGCACAATTCTGGAAAACAAGCTTTTCAACGGGCAAAGACGGAACAGGAAGAGATACAATTTATTTGCATAACTAAAACATAATAGACTGCTGTATTATGATGTAAATATGGAAATGCCCTGTTTAAAACTACAGTATTGTTTGCTTTAATTTGCATGCTTATTTAAATCAGGTCAATTTTCCATGGATCAGAGTTATTGGTTTATTTTTTTCTGTAATATATGTAGAGACCAATTTGAGTCATTGAAGAATTAGAAAATATTAATGCCAATCTTCCATTGTTAATTGGTTTGAGCCTAATTTTAATCATTCTGATAATTAGTGTAATCACGCGTTGCAATTTTTACCCCCTAATTCTATTCCAATGCATGGCAGGGAATACTGTAACTCATCTATAGGTTAGAATCAAACTATTACAGAACCAGACTTTGTATCATCAGGTCTGTGCTGGGGGGTTTTGCCACCAGCCAATTTAATCCCACTGTCTTGCTCACTTTCTTACATACCCTTGATACCCTCCATTATTTCTCCTCTTACAGTGGAGAATTTATTCCTTTAATTTCCTTTGAAACTTTTAATATTTTAAAAACCTTATAGTTTAAAAAACTAGAATTCTGGTGCTCAAACAACTAATAAGAAATAACCAGCCTTGCATTTAACATAGCGCTTCGCACTTCTTCTAGACGTCTCAAAGCGCTTCACAGAATTTACTGTAAAGTGAGTTGAACTAACTACAGTTAACTAACTGCAATTGTAGTGGTTAATTAACTAAAATTAATTAATCAACCGACTACCAATAGCTAACTTCAATTGGCTGCCAAGTTTCGCCCCAAAAAAACCTTCAGGCATCCTACTTTTTGCGATACAGTACATTCTGTGAAGCGCTTTGAGACGTCTCAATGATGTGACGAGACATTATATCAAACAAGAAGATTACATTTGTTTAGCGCCTTTCACGTCGGGAGGACGTCCCAAAGTGCTGGCCTTTCAGACCCAAGCTGGGGTCGGGGGGGGGAGAAGGGAGGGGAAAGGGGTGGGGGAACGAGGGGTGGTGACCGATGGCATGGTCGCAGAGGAGGGTCTAGAGGTGGGACTTGAAGGAGGCTAAGGAGGGGGGCAAGGCGGAGTGGTTGGGGGGGGATGGAATTCCAAGAGGTTGGGGGCAGAGTGGCCGCAAGGCTCTCCCGCCAACGGTGGGGCGGGACAGACGCGAGGATTGTTAGTATGATTGTTAACCCGAAAGTGAAACGTGACGAAGACCATCCTCTTTTGACCGTGCCCGGTCTCCTCCCCACCCCCTCCCACCACGTGCAAATACAAGTTGTCGCCATCGTCGTTGGCTTCGAACGTGAAGGTGAGTGAGCGAAGAGCGTGGGAACCGATTCGGCCAAACCCGCGGCCGTTATCGGCAAACGTTTGCAGAGTGGGAGGAGGGCGAGAGAAAGCCGGGGGTGGGGGGGGGGGCGTCCTGGCCAGACTGCACCGGCTGCCCGTCCCAGAGAGGACCCTCACCCTCGTCTTCAAACCCCTGCACTCCTCCGCACCCCCCACCCCCCCCCCGACCTCCACTCTCCTCAAAGCAGCACCCGTCGCCTTTCGTTCCTCCGGGTCTGGTCTCCTCCTCCTCCTCGCCCCCCAACCCCGGGTCCGCCGCACCCCTCTGCCCCGCCCTCGGGAGGCCGGGCCTTCAGCCACCGCGCCCCGGAGGCTCTGGAACCGCCCCCCTCCCTCCCTCCCTCCCTTCCCGTTGTCAGGTTCTCCGCCGAAGAACTTTCTTTTCGACCGTGTCTTCGGTCACCTTCCACCCACTCCTTCCATCCTCTCCACTCCCTCCATCCCCCCCACTCCATCGCCTCCACTCCCTCCATCCCCCCCCTCCATCCCCTCACACTCCCTCCATCCCCTCCACTCCCTCCATTCCACCCCCACTCCTCCACTCCCTCCATCCCCTCCACTCCCTCCATCCCCTCACACTCCCTCCATCCCCTCCATTCCACCCCCACTCCTCCACTCCCTCCAACCCCTCCACGCCCCCCACTCCATCTCCTCCACTCCCTCCATCCCCTCCACTCCCTTCCTCACACTCCCTCCATCCCCCTCCCCACTCCCTCCATCCTCTCCACTCCCTCCATCCTCTCCACTCCCTCCATCCCTCACACTCCCTCCATGCCCCCCACTCCATCCCCTCCACTCCCTCCCTCACACTCCCTCCATCCCCCTCCCACTCCCTCCATCCCCCTCACACTCCCTCCATCCCCCTCCCCACCCTCGCCCTCGGCTCGAGTCCCGGGGATCCGTTACCGCGAGGCGCTCTTCGAGATGGGGGAGGGGGGTGGGGGGGAACGCCGTACAAACCCAAGTTGTTGTCGTCGTCGCTGCTCCTGCAGCGGGAGGGGCGCCTGACTGACTGACTGAACTGCAGTGCACTGCACTGGCGCTGCACTGGAGCGGCAAACGTGCAGCGGCGGGGCGGGGCGGGGCGAGCACCTTGCAGGACGCACGTGGGCGGCCGCTCGCGCGAGGAGGGAGTGCGTGTGTGTGTGTGTCACGAGGTGTGCGCGCGGGGGACTCGCGCGCGCCGCGACCGTTAGTCGCTTCCCGCCCCCGCTCGCCCCGCCCCCGCCCCCGCCCACTCGCACCTCCAGCGCCCGTCCGGCGCCATGACCCTCCCTGAGGAGATCAGGCGGCTCCTGGAAGGTAAAAAAAACACACACACAGGCGCCCGCGCGCGCGCGCCCCGGCATTAACGTCCCCCAAAACCACCGCTTTTTTTTTCTTTTTTCTCTCTCACTCTCCTCTCTCCCCTCCCCTCACGCCATCACCCCCTCTCCCCTTCCCCCCCGATCGGTCGGTGGTGGGGTGGGGGGGAAAAAAGAAACGAAAACTTTCTCGCCCGTCCGTTTAAAAGTTGTCACCTCAGCGCAGCGTTTTTTTTTCGCTCTCTCTCTGTCTCTCTCTCTCTCTCTCTCACTTATTCACTCACTCGCTCGCTCGCTGACAGGAAATAATTGCCACCTTTTGACGCCGCACTTCCCAAAAGGTTTCGTTGAATTGTATTCTTCTACTTTTCAAAGAAGTCTTTATTTTGTGAGGGACGGGGAGGGTAGAGGAGTTTTTTTTTTTTGGGGGGGGGGGTTTAACCCCACCCGCTTCTCTGTGGTGACTTTCTTCACCTGCGTTAAAACCTTTTGGGTTTTTTTTTCCTTCTGTCTTGAGTGAAATATCTTCAGTCTATGAAACTGCTGCTTTACCGGATATGCCATTCGTAAAGGCGAGAGAGAGAGTGAGAGAGAGAGAGAAGAAATTTTTTTTTACCTGCACTTTAATTCACTTTACAGTCTATTCTGCGAAGCGCCTTTTGAGACGTCGAGAAGACGCGAAAAGCGCTGTGTCGAATGCAAGGATTGTTGTTATTATTATTGCCGCTGTTATTGTTATCATCGCACACCTCCTTCACGGTAAATGGTCGTCAGCTTTGCATTGCGTCAGCCGCGCCTTTCGCTTTGGCGACCGTGTCGCAGGAGCGCTTCCCAGACTCGACCGCGAAGCGAATTAAACCCATTAATTAACCCTTGCGGGTTAAAGGCGATAGAGCATGAAACCTCCTGAACAACAACAACAATAATAATTTATTATTATTATTATTAAATCTCCCGAACGCCGAATACTGCGGACGCTGGAAATCTGAAAACGCGAACCGGGAACACTCGAGCGGGTCAGGCGGCGTCTGTTGGAGAGCGGAAACTGAGTCGACGCTTCGGGTCCGCCACCCTTCCTCGGGGGGGGGGCATGTTGGGAGGGAGAGGCTTTTAAGGGCTCATGGTGAAGGGGAGGCAGGGCAAGGAAGACGAAGGAGAAGATGGGGTAGAGGACCAGGGGATGATGAGTTAAAGAGGTGTTAATGGTGCAGCGAAGCAGGGGAATAGAGGTCTTAATAATAATAATAATCCTTGCATTTGATATAGCGCTTTTCACGTCAGGAGGACGTCCCAAAGCGCTTCACAGAACACACTGTAAAGTGAATTGACTGTATATTTGTGGGCGAATACTGCAGAACAAGAACTGTCTTCCTTGCCCTGCCTCCCCCCCCTCTCTGTTAGCCCTTAAAAGCCTCTCCCTCCCAATGTGCCCCAGTTCTGACGAAGGGTCGTGGACCCGAAACGTCGTCTCACTTTCCTTTCTCCGTAGGTGATGCCTGGCCTGAGGAGTGTTCCCACAGCCACTTCTGTTCTTGTTTTTATAAAATCTTCTGAAGCGCTTTTGAGACATATCGATGATGTGATACGGCACTGTATCAAATCTAAGGATTAATGATGGGTACTCCTGACCCAACAGAGAGGCTATTGGTTGGATAGTGGATTCACAACCGTGGGTTGTAATTTGAATGGAAGTTGGCAGCTCAGAAGCTCAGTACAGCTGGTGTCCGATTGCTGACCCTGATCTAAGCAGAGCTGTCCTGTTTTCAATCCTGCGTAGCCACGCTATAATTGACCTCAGCACCCCTGAATGAGAGAAAAATAATAAAAAAATAAACCCTGCATTTGATATCGCGCCTTATCACATCTTTGAGATGTCTTAAAGCCCTCACAGAATATACTGTAAAGTGAATTGACTGCATATTTTGTGGGTGAAAAATAAGGCGCTAAGGCAGTGTGGAGTTCTTCTGTGAAGGTCGGTGCATTGGATCAGGGTTGATTGTTGAGCTTCTCTGTTCTGGTATCATTGCCTAATCAGTTTAAAGTCTCATCCAAAAGGATTGTATCTCTGGCAACACACACTCCCAGCACAGCATTAGAGAGTCAGTCTTGACTGTGTGTTCAAAGTCCTCATGTAGGGCTTGAACCCACAACCTTCTGGCTCAGAGGCGAGGGTCCTACCAACTGATCCAGGCTGACACACTTTATCATGATACTTGTGTGTCAATGTGATGGGCAGACCATTATCACACCGCAGCATTCCCCTCACTCTGCACCCTCACCAAAGCAGAAGCAAAGCAAAATGACGAATGCTTGAATTCACATGCAAAAATATCAATGGTACAGGATGGATAAACTTAAGAGCAGCACTAAGCTTTGAAAAAATTCTTGCCCATGGTCATGAGGCCTGAACAGTTTACTACGGTTTTCCCATTCCCTTGAATCTAATATTGAATTACTAAAACATGGACATGGGAATCTGATTGTTCAATGGTGTATATAGTGCTGGGAATAAAATTAAGAGTAGGAGGAATATTTGCCTTCTATTGTAAATTTAAATCCGTCTCTTTGGAGTTTGAACCCATGTGGTTTATATATAACACTTCCTGTGCTGTACAAACCAGGTCATTCTTGTCTCCAATTAAGTGACCAATTTTGAAATAAATTGGGTCTTTCACCCATATTGCTGTTTCCTTTCTCTTTCCCCCCACCATTATTTTTTACATATTGTGTTTTGGGCTATAATTACCAATGGAGAAAGAAAGCATCAAAGTTATGACCAAATTAAAGTTTTTAATGATATTTGCTGAAGGCTTGCAGGCTAAACTTAGTTAAAAACTGTAAATACTTGGCTGGTTACTCCAAGAAATGCATTACTTAGATAAATATTTATACAAATTCCATTTAAAAGAAGCTAATTTCCAAACATTGAATTGTAGGATGGTTAGTTGTAATTTCATTTACTCTGAACAAAAACAGAAAATATGCTTTTTATTTTCCAAATAAATTGATTTGCACGCAGTGGAAGTGTTAAGTGCAGTGAAATTTAGCAGCAGATTGGGTGTGGTTAGTGCTATATACACAAACATTAGTTAAGCATGTGTAATGTTTGCTTCTGGATTCGGAATTTAAATTCCCCAGATAACATTAATAATTCACTTCATGGCTGTTTTGGGGAAATTGTTGTGCGCTGAATTGGCTGTCAATTTACGAATTGATAGCACTACACCTTATTGTAATACTCAATACACCCATCATAATTCGTGTTAAGGATGATAAGGTGCTATATGAAATGCAAATATTATTATTAAATATTTTGTTCAGTTTGAAACATTCTGCAGTAGGATTCATTGGGACCAGACCTCCGCATTTCGATTCTATAGACTGGGCATGAGTTTATTGCCAGGATCAAATTTGCGCTTATTTGGAATCAACTCTCCACTTTCTAGGTATTGCTGAGTTTAAAGTTAAGTTCACGTTGGAATAAAATCCTTCCTGCATTGTCATTTGACAATCTTAACACTAAACCTAAACTTAGTAAACATGGCATGGTTCTGAAAGTTGATATCAAGGCTTATCAATTGCTGTAGACTGTAGTAGACAATCAATTTATTTCCAGTTCTGGAGCTCGGTCATTTGGATCTCCCACCCTCACCCATCATTCCTTTCTGTCTATGAGGAAGGGCTTTATCTCTAAGCAATTTATTCTTTCTCATATTGGCTTGTAAGAGATTGGAACCCACCATGGGAGAAATTACAGTTTTGACTTCATATCCCACCAACTCAGGTATCAGTGCTCTCATTCTGTACCATCCAGGCCGTCCCAAGGCAATGCTGTTTTCTGCACACAATGCATCAGTTCTTCTGCTATATATAATTTTCAGCTGCCTTCTCTGTTAACACATGCTGATGCACACCTGCAATGTGATAAATATTTATTTTAGATTGTTTCTGGCTGGTTTATTGGCTCAGTGACAAGGCTTTGTGGTTCCTCTGATCATTTCAAAAACTGAATTTGTTTTGTGATTAGTGAGGTGGTAAGTGAATGGAGATTAATTGCACGTCACAGGCACATAACACCAAAGACAGTAGGGCCTGAAAGGGTCATGATGTATCTATATTCTATATAGATAGAATATATTCTCTATATATCGCCTATATTCTCCACGGGGAAGGTATATTTATGCTTTACCTGTGAGGTAATAAATGTCAGTCTTAAAATTAAATCTTATTAGATTAAATGTTTCACGTTAATAATAATAATCCTTGCATTTAATTTAATAATTTAATAAATTTAATAATAAACCTTAGGCAAGTTTCCTTATGCCACACGTACATGCCTGTTTACCCTAAAAAAAAGTTGGTCTTTCAACCCACAACTGTTTGTGGGATACTGCTCTGCGCAATTGACTGATGCGTTTCACCTACAAAATACAGAGTCACTCCATTTCACATTATATTCTGTGAAACGCTTTGAGATGTCTCAATGAGATGTGATAAGGTGCTATATCAAATGCAAAGATTATTATTATTTGATATCGCGTCTTATCACGTCTTTGAGATGTCTCAAAGCGCTTCACAGAATATACTGTAAAGTGAATTGACTGTATATTTTGTGGGCCTTTGATAGGCTGTATAATTTTAGCCTTTGATGTATAATATGCTTTACCCATTGACCTGGTTAGCACTTCCCTAACCATTAGGGCTTTAGCTTGCCTGATTTCATGGCAACAGTTTACCATCCAAGTTTCACTGATGAGAAGGCCAGGCCAACAGCGATCAACATCCATAGATACCACTCTAGTGTAATAATGGAACCCACAGTACTGAATAGTGCATTTTGTCATTGCTTAGGGAATGTATACAATTACCTGTAATAAAATACCTTGATTTTTTTTATAATGCTTTATGCCAAAACATTTGAAAGCACTTCACAAATAATTATTGTCATATATAGTAACTGTTTTATAGTCAAATGAGGCAGCCAGGAAATCCCTTTTTCTTAGACCAGAGTGGTCCAACTGGAGGCCCACGGACCGATTTCATACACTTCCCCCTCTATTTTATCTGGCCACCCACTCCCTCCATAACCAGTAAATGTTATGTTTCTGGAAGGGAACCACAAAAATATTTCTATGCAGCCCATAGATGTTTCTCAAATAGGGCATCCGGCCCTCGGCAGCTAAAGGTTGAACCACCCTGTTTTAGGTTATTTAATATTTATCTGGTCAGGCAAATAGAACTTTGATTTAAAGTCTCATTCAAAGTAACACCTTGGCAATGCAGTACTCTCCAGGAGTCTCTTGGACTGGCTATGAACTAAGGCAATGCTGAATCAAGTTTTTACCCCTTATGGTTTGAACCCAAAACATTCTTACCCATGTTATCAACCAAACCGAAATAAATATAAAAAATACTTGTCATGTGAATTCTCCATATATACAAATGTATAATATTCATTTCAAATGGCTGAGTGGTCTTATGAAAAGGATAGAAAATTATGGATTATTCCTTAGTTAAGGAAATCTATATAACAATTATGCTGATATACAAAGATGTCTATCTTTGACAAAATAGCATTTAGATTTTTGGATAAACTAACGATCATTGACTTTATTAACAGGTTTCCTTCTTTTGCCTCTATAGATTCAGAGATTTTCATAGCTGAAATTTTGCAGAATGAAAAGCTCAGTAAGAAAACAAAAGATAAAAGGGAGGTACTCCTAGAAGGTTTTCGACTGATAAAGTACAGGTAAGGTCAGCATGCTCAGTTGTAAATTAACTTGCTTTTTAAGCATGCCACCAAATGTAAATTGTTTGAAACTATTCCCTCATATAGGTGGAAGAAGCGATAAATTTCAAGGTGACTTTTGATGGACAAGGAGAATCTTTAAGTAGAGACAGGCGGTTAAACATCTCATTAATGCCGCATGCTGCCTCATGTGATGCTGGTGCCACACAAAACATTTTTTCAACAACAACAAGTTGAATTTATATAGCACCCTCCACTCCGGACGGCGTCTTAGAGCGCTTTGCAGTAACGGACCTTGGCACCGAGCCAAGGGGAGGGGGAGGAAGGTGACCAAAGGTCCAGTCGAGAAAAAAAAGGTCTTCAGTAGAGACCTGAAAATAGGAAGGGGGGAGCGAGGCGAAGGGATGAGGAAGGCAGTTCCCAAGCCTCGGGGCATAGTGGCTGAAGGCACGGCTGCCGAGATTGGAGCAGAGGAGTCGGGGGACGAGGAGGAGGCCAGACCTGGAGGAATGAAGGCAATTGGTACTGTTTTGAGGAGAGAGGAGGTCAGAGAGGTCGGGGAGTGCAGAGGAGCGCAGGGACTTGAATACAAAAGTGAGGATCTTGAAATCGATCCTCTCTGGGATAAGCAGTCTGGCAAAGACTGGGGTGATCGGGGAGCAGAGTTTTGTGCGGGTGAGAATGTGGTCGGCAGAGTTTTGAATCATCTGGATTTTATGGATGGTAGTGGATGGGAGACTGGCGAGGAGGGCGTTGGAGTAGTCCAGCCGAGATGTGACAAAGGCATGGACCAGGGTTTTAGTGGCTTTTGGAGTGAGGTATTTGTGGAGACGGGCGATGCGTCGAAGGTGGAAGAAAGCGGTGCGGTGAGGGACCGGATGTGGGGGAGGAAAGATAATTGGGGATCGAACGTGACGCCTAGGTTGCGTACGGGTTTGGAGAGTTTTAGGGGGAAGTCAGGTAGGTGGAGGAGGTGAGAGCAGTGAGATTTTAGATGTTGACGAGAGCCAAAGAGCATGGCTTCTGTCTTGTCAACATTCAGCTGAAGGAAATTTGCACTCATCCAGCCCCTGAGATTTGACAGGCAGACTGACAGAACATCAGGGGACTGGGGGTCGCAAAGAGAGATGGAAAAATAGAATTGGGTGTGGTCCGCATACATGTGGAAGTGCACCCCATGTCTACGGATGACATTCCCAAGAGGGAGCATATAGATCAGAAAGCAGAGGGGGCCAAGGATGGATCCCTGGGGTACCCCGCAGGTGACCGGGTGAGAGCAGGAGAAGAAGCCGTTTGTGCAGATGTGCTGCTGGCGGTTTTTTTTCCTCAGCAAATGTTACAAAAGAACAACTTTTTTTAAGATGTGCTTCTCCAGCTTTAAACATGTTACTGTACCAAGAATGCTTTACTCAAAACGCTCATTTTAACAAACATCATTGAGTTGTACTTTAGGCCTTTCTTCCACCCACAAGAACCACAGAATCAACCCTACGTGAAATAGTTTACTGCTCATTTTAGATGTGTAGTGGTTGCTGAAGTAACTAAACTTCCTGCTGACCTAATTCTTGGGCTGTTCCGGTTTTGTTATGGTGTATTTTGGCAATTCCACTATTCACCATTGAAATATTGAAAAGAATCAATTAAAATAATATTAAAAAGTATCTTGTCCTAGAAAGTCAGTTGAAAAAATTCAATGTTATTAAATGGCTATACTTTAAATGTACTACAGTTATTGGCTTCAGTTGGTTGCACTCTTGCTTCTGTTGAGAGATAGAAGGTTGTGGGTTTGAGTGCTGCTTTCGAAATAGTGCAGCCAGGGGAGAACTGCAGTGCTGGTGGTGTTATCCTTTAGCTGAGGTCTCATCTGCTGAAAGTACCCATGACACTATTTGAAAAGAGGAGGTGTCCTGGCCAACAATCTTCAAGATAAAACTGGTGGAACATTGCTGTGTGCAAATTGGCTGTTGTGTTTGTACAATTGCTACATTCCACAGTAAAATCCTGTGATATCCTTTGAGATGTATTGATGACGTGATAAGCGCTATACCAAATGCAAAGTCTTTATTATAATAATAATGTTATTGTCATTCTGGCCGACTTTCCAACTTTGTGGAAAGTTGTGTGCATTTAGCTGCCGTGTTTGCCTACAAACACCACAGTCACGACATTCAACACTACTTTGAACATTTTGAGATTTCTGACATGGTGCTATATCAAATGCAAATTATTACCATACACATAAAAAATGTCTCATAGTGCATTTTATCATTGCTTAGGAAATGTATACAATTATCTGTAATAAAAGAGCTTGAATTTTTTTNGTAATGCTTTATGCCAAAACATGATCCCCAACAGTTGATCTTTGTTGGGAGGATACGAGAATTAGTCTCGGTGGCCCTCGGACTAGGGAGGGAAATTTGCCAAGATTTTTTGGTCCAGATCTCTATGCAGTGATTCCTACTTGTATAGTTGTTATATAGCTTCCTCACATTAAGATATCTTGGCTGTCTGTGAAAAGAGACAGACCTCAGAATCAGACGTACTTCCTATTACTTTGTTGCACAGAATTTATGCCTAAGCCACAAGTTACTTTATTTTTAGCAAAAAGTAATAACATTTCTTTGTAATTCAACAATTTTCCAATCCTTTAATTTGGCCAGGACACCCGAAGCAACTTCTTGCTTTTTNCTAATATTGTCATGTTTTTTAATGTACACTGAACGGTCAGATGTGACCTCAGTTTAGTATGTCATCTGAAGGATGGCTTCTCCAACATTGGAATTGCCCTCCATCCCTCTTGATCCCGAATCCCAGCCATGGGTGCCCACCCTTCCCCTAGTGCTTTGGAACGTCCTCCTGATGTGAAAGGCGTTATATAAATGCAATTTGTTGTTGTTGTTGGAATGCTCCCTCGAAGCTGCGTTGGAGTATCAGCTTAGATTATGAGTTTGAAATCCATGATATGGTACTTGAACCCACACTACCTTCTGACCAAGAACTGAACCAAGATGACACACTCGTGGACTGAGTTGGCTGATCTCGGCTGGTCAGCAGTTGAGGCTACAAATGATCTTAGCTCAATCAAGCTTTCCCATCCTGAGCACTATCCAAGATTCTCACAACATATTTTAAAGTCATGGCTTCTCTACTCAAACAGCTGCTAAGTGAGAGCTTATTTTGTGCTTTTTAAAAAAGAAACCATGAACAGTAGGCCTTAAAACTGATGCTGGTTACTGCAGCAAACAAAGCAGGCTGCAGTCGTTCCACTTTATCATTAACTAATTACTCAGTGTCTTGTGTGCAAACATTTACAGATCATCATTTAATTCAAGAGAGTCGGAACAGTAATTCAGTTGATACTGGAACAGTGCCACACTTGTATCCTGATAGAATCCAACTGTTTGGATTAATGTGGTACGGAAGGATACAGTTCGTGCCAGTACAATCGTATTGAAAATGTTTTTTTAAAAAGATTTAAACAGATGAAAATTGCCATTCATGCTAAATTATAGAGAATTATTTGGTATTTATTAATCCTGCTCAATGGATAATGTAGACAGATGGAAGCAAGGCTTGCACAATGATTTATGTGAAGTAAATACACATTGGCAGTTGTTCAGCTTTGAGAGAAAGTGGTGGAGAATTTATAAAAACGGAAATGTTCTTGCTATGTTTGCTTGTTAATTATTGAATAATTCCCCTTCAGTAATAATGCAAAATAGTCCTCGCTTTAGTGCCACTACCGAGAACATTTGGAAATTGTGCTGCAGTACAATTAAATATTTTGATTGGAACTGATTACAAATTGCTGCTGATTTATTTTGCATAGACATGAAATGTTTTCTTCATGATTGATGCAGCTTACAAATTATTTGCATTTCATAAAACAACTATCATTTATTATTTTAATTTGTGTGTCTGCAGTATTTGCTGAAAAATTCTGGAGTCTTGAAAAGGGCTCAAAAAGCTCAAGAAGCATAGGACCAAAACTAAATCTGTTTTGATTAGAAAAATAGAACAGTAAGGATTGGGGAAAGATGTGAATTTTGTTGGCTGAATCTGAGAACAGGCTTATAATATAAATGAAATAATACTGAAAAGCTCTATCTGTGGATTGGATCTCAAGTTGGTTAAAATATTTTGAGGAGATATAAGCAAAGTTCTGTTTTGACACAGGGGAGAGAAAACAGTAGAGGAAGATTTGGGTGCAGCAATAACTAATATGGCATGTATTGCAGTGAACATGGATAGAAGGATCAGTTAAATGGATTTAATGACCTCTCAATCCTGTTTTCTCACAATGACATGAATTTATACATTACATAGCATTCAGCTACTATGCCCAACTGGAACTCCAAAATCCCTCCATCTCACTCTCTCTTTCTGCTTTCAAAATCCTTCCAAATCTACCTCACTACATTTTTCCTGGTGATCTTTCTACTACTAACCTCTCCCCTCCCCATCTTGCTCTGTGATCCACCATGTCCCTGTGAAGCACTTCAAACCTTATTACTTTGTGAAAGGACCTGTGTACTACTTTAGCACAGTAAAGTAACAGTAATAATCCTTGCATTTCAGTACAACTGCAATTGTGTAAAAGTCCACATTTTCCATTCTTATACCAATATTATTTTTATATAACCTGACTTTCCCCATTTTCTTCCTAGATTGCATTACCTCAACCCCCCAACAGCATGTTGGCAACAGTAGGCATGGCCATAATCTTTGCCAGCTCTGCTCCTTTGTCCTTTGTGTGGATTGAAGTTGGACAATTGCAATGTTTTCATTACTCAATTCCTTTATTAAAATCTTTGTCCCACCCTCCACAGTTTTGTTCCCCTCTACCTTTGCAACCTACTAAAACCTTACCAACCTTCCAGTCCCTGCGCTTGGAGGGCACTAGCCAGCTGCATATCCCCCACCCTACGAAGCCCACCATTGACAGCCGGGTTTCCTTATTTTTCCCTTTCTATAATCTGTTTAAATAATCAGATATTCTTACCCAAAACATCAAAACAAGTAATTTCCCTCTGTCACAGCAAAAGCAACTTATATTTATCACATACTCTACCCTGAATTAGATTGCTGAATGATCATCAGTTAGTTTAAGTTTGTAAGTAAATTCTGAGAAAAAGCAAAAAGTTCAGAACCCTGAAATTCCTCATTACCCTAAGAGCATTGTCATAAAATGTAGGATCCTGCAGAATTTAAAGTAATGTAGAATAAAACTTCAAAATTAAAATGCAATTTCTGAATTTTCTGAAATTATACACAATCTTAAATTGTAAGGCAATGGTGTTAAGGGTACATTTCAATTTCAGGCCTCAGTTGTCTGGCCAGTTTCAGATATTTAATATGTGTTTATCCTTTTTAATGTCCAATTTCCACTTTTCAGTAGCTTTTACCAGAGATCTTGTCTCTGAACAATAATAAATGATGGTTTTAGCTCTGTGTTGCGCCCTGCTGGGGGAAGTATGGTTTTCTCTTCTGTCCTTGTTTGTTCTCTGGATGGTGAAGAAATATTGCTCCAGGCTGATTAGCTCTAAAATGATTTGGTTAGGAATCACAATCTGGTTCAAATGTATAATAAAACACAATTTACATTTATATTGTGCCTTTCAGGCTGGGAGGATGTCTCAAAACACTTATAGAAAGGGGAGGGGAAAAACTGGATGCATGTATAGTTTTGTTTTATTAATAATCATGGCATTTGATATAGCACCTTACATTTTTACAGTAAAATGCAGTGATTGTGTATTTGTAGGCGAATGTGTCAGCCAATTTGCGCACCGCCAATGTCATATAAACAGCCATGAAGTGACTAATCAATTTTAACTGATGGATTGTTGACTGGACACTAGGAGAACCTCCTTTTTTTTAATAGTACCACGGGATCTTCAATGTCCACCTGAACAGGCAGAGGGACTTCATTTGAAAGTCTCATCTGAAGGACCGCACATCAAGCAATGTAGCGCTTTCCCAACCCTTCACTGGAATGCCTAGACTGTGAGCTTACTCCACACACTTCTGTTTACCTAGCAGTAAGGAGGAACCCGTTTGTTACTCGATTGGCGGATCGCTTTTCCGGGGCTAATAATCCCTCAAAGAAAACCAATAATAATTTGGTCATTCAATCCACGACTGTTTGTGGGACACTGCTGTGCGCAATTGGGTGCAGCGTTTTGCCCACAAATATACAATCAATTCATGTCACACTATATTCTGTGAAGCGCTTTGAGATGTCTAGAAGATGTGAAAAGCGCTATATCTAATGCAAGGATTATTATATTATTACTCATTGCAGGGCATTTTTTGGGTACTTTTAGCCGACATCCAGAAATGTTAAAAACTGATTTCTACAGATGAAGCAATGCTTCATGTATTTGTTTCAAACCTTAGAATGGAGTATCAGCTTAGATTATGAGTTTGAAATCCATGACATGGTACTTGAACCCACACTACCTTCTGACCAAGAACTGAACCAAGATGACACACTCGTGGACTGAGTTGGCTGATCTCGGCTGGTCAGCAGTTGAGGCTACAAATGATTTTAGCTCAAGAGAGGGGAAAATAATACGAAAACAGAAATCTAATAAATAATAATCATACAATGTTATTAATTATTAAATAATAATCTGTAAAATTTGCCTAAAATTCTGTTAAAATTGGCTAAACAGTAGCGACTGCTGATGAAATCACCATTACATTTATGATTATTATTATTATGGAAGGGCAATTTACTGTTGGGGAATTTTGAAATTAATGCTGGGAAATTCTTGGTGTGAATTTCCCTTACCACTTTATATGTTAAAAATTTCCTGACTCACTGAGCATGGCTCACACCTTTAGTTTGATGTAATTCTTTATTGGGACAATTTGACTGATGTATGTTGCATCATTTTATTATCTTTCTTCCCTTCTGCCCCGCCCCTCTCCATTCGATTTTCTGATCTTTTCTGAAGACTGCAATGTGATCTCAGGTCCCATTGAAGCCACAACCTTCTGACCACTGAGAAGAAAAGCAGAAAATTGGCCTTGTGAATGCTTAAAATGTACAATATATTTTCGTAGAATTATGCTCAATCTTACTGAAACAATTCTAATAATTATTTGCTTATTTTTTTCTAGGTATCAGCAAGAATTTCAGTTCAGAGGTAAGAGACAATAACAGCCTTTTTATTATTTGCAGAACATGAAGTAATGTCACACGATTTTGATGTGTGTTTCACATTAAATATCTTTATCATTTTATCATTCAGTGAACTTTACGTTGATTTGTTCAATATCATTAAAGCTTCAATATGAATGTCATTGTAAATCAATTACTTGGACCACCCTGACTGTTGCCTTTCTTAACACCTGCCACCAACCAAGAAAAAGGGCCAAAGAATTTAATAGAACTTCACAGTTTAATGTAGAAAGTAACTGATACCCAGAAGCGAAAATCAGCAATCTGGCTCAGAGAAGCCGACGTGGGAAATATTCACATTGGTGCAGGGGAGGGTGCTTTCGTAGCACAATGCTGAGACAGATTGTATGGAACATTCATTTGCAAATCTGTATGCCTGGCTTGAGAGTTCTTAACATTGCCATTAGTGCTCTGTCTCTTGTTTAATGCTAGGGAACTTCATCTTGATGGACACAAAGATTCACCAAAAGTATTATTTAGGGGGTAGAACAATGGGCTTCAGCATAAAATTGTTGCTGTGCATATTTTTTGCAACTGAGCCATAGTATTCCCTTCCCCAAAAAAATCGAAATGATATGGCTGGATTTAAAATTCTTGCAGACATTGTGAAGCATGGTATTTAAAAAGCCTTTGACTCATAAAAATGCTCCCTAGTTGCTAAACTTTGCAGACGACATATTAACTTCAGAGAAAGCTGCTAAGGCCAAATATTTTCCGTATTTCATGCATTGTAAACTTCTTTTTCCTGTTACTTAACAATTATTTGCTTAAATATACTTCACGTGTGCCAGTGTTATTCAGAGGCTGCAATATCTGTCCACAAATTATCTTTCTTTTTAAATTGCTTAAAGCAAATTAGTAAATTGTCATTTGTTGCATATCGTTAGCTGAGGTTTTGAAATGTGGATATAATTTGGGGTTGCAGTTTAACCGTTTTCTCTTTGTTAGTGGGGTTGGGGGCGGTGGGGGTGTAAGGGCCTACACTTTTACAATGCGGAAAGAAAACAGTGCGGAAGGTAAGGAAACTTGCCGAAGGTTTTACCCTGCCGGGAATCGAACCCAGATTTCTTGCTTGCGAAGCGAGAGCTCAAACCATTGAGCTACAGGACTCCACACGATAATAATAATAATAATAATATCTGTTAGGATTATTCAAAAATGTCTTGACAAAATACCGAGTGAACAAAATAGCAACCTCCTGCAAAATGTAGCTATTTTAGGATCCTCAATTATATTAAGAAAAGTCACAAGTATTCACATGTAAAGTGACAGTGTTATTTGTTTGGCTGATGCATCACGGAAAACCATTAAGAAGTTACCTCTACACAGTGATTTAAAACTAATAACCTTAAAAATATATTAATAATAATCCTCGCATTTTGATATAGCGTCTTACCATGCTCAAAGTAATCACAGGTTATGCTGTAAAGTGGTACAGTGGTCATCCCTGGTAACATCCTAATAAATCTATGCTGTATTCTGTATTTCATTTTACTTTTGTAGTAGGATGACCAGAACAGTATACAATATTCCCAATGTGGTCTAACAAGGTTTTGTAAACAATTAACTTACTTTCTTACTTTTGTATTCTAACACACAATAACTACACTTTAGAGCAACTATTTGTGAAGTTCTTTGAAACATTTTGACTTAGACGATTCTAAAGCAAATCCAAGTAATATTTATTTTTAGGCGCCATTAAAATGCAAGATCCTTCTTGTAAGAAATACAAATGAAAAATGGTTGCGGAATCTCACTTTATCCACTTCACCTGGAGTAATGCAAGCAATTACTAATTTACTTTCCCAAATTACTTCATTATTCTTTATTTCTGTACCTGGGTAGTGAAGAGAGAGCAACACAGCCGAATCCAATCAGGGCCTTACCCAATACTCAAGTGCTCACACATCAAACAGTATTGAATAGATTATAATTGGAGGTAGGGCTCCTGGCTGAATTTGCCACCTCTCCTTTTTTTGGGCCCAAGGAGCTCAAAGGAACTGTACAGAGCTGTACATTTTTTAATGTTTACATTTCTCAGAATCGGGTTGTACTCAATCAGTTATCTTTTTGCTGTCTGTAGAAATTAGACATTAGGAGAAGGCCGTTTGGACAATCAATGTTAAACTACTGGTGCTATCTCGTCCACAGGAATTGACTACTATAATCCCATTCCTTGCTCCTTTATATTTATGTCTGGAGAACAATTTCACAGGATTGAAGGGAATTGAATCCTATCAAGAAATGCCACAAGTTCAGATGTTTGCAAGCAGCAGATGTAATTAAAATATTTATAATAATTTGGTTACTGAATCCTTGACTGTTTGTGGGATAGTGCTGTGTGCAATTGGTTGCCGCGTTTTGCCTACAAAAATATACAGTCAATTTACTTCACAGTATGTTCTGTGAAGTGCTTTGAGACATATCAACAATATGATCATGGAATCATAGAATCATAGAATATTATTACAACAGGAAGCCCATCGTGCCTGGGCCGATTCTTTGGAAGAGCAACCCAATCAGTCCCACTTCCCGCTCTTCCCCCATATCTTTGCAAATTTTTCATCTTCCAAGCACCTATCCAATTCCCTTTTGAAAGTTGTTATTGAATTTTTTTCCACCATCCTTTCAGGCAGTGCATTCCAGATCGTAACAACTTTCTGTGTAAAAAAAAGTCTCATCTTCCCTCTGGTTCTTTTGCCAATTATCTTGAATCGATGTCCCCTGGTTACCAACCCACCCACAAGTGGAAACAATTTCTCCCTATCTACTCTATCAATACCCCTCATAGTATTAAATCTGCCCTTAACCTTCTCTGCTCTAAGGCACGTAATACGGCGCTTTATCAAATGTAAGCATTATTATTACTCTTATTTTTTTCCTCTTTAAACGGTTAGTAAATTCCATATTAGATTTATAATGATCTCAGAATCTGCAGAAGTCCAGGGAGAAGTTTCTTTTCAATTGCTGTCTTTCACATCTCTCACACTTGTGCTTCATATTTGCAGTCTATTGTGAGTTTGCAACACAGCTGCAATAACGAACCTGGTCTAAATAGTGATGGTGTGGGAAGTTATTCAATCTATTCGTATTTCAAAATTAAAAACTTTCCTTTTCCTCATTTCCACATTAGGGTTCGACTGAATTTTCCATACAATGAGTTTCTGCTGTTCCTCATTTGTTTGGGCTGAGGAAAAAAAAGAGATTGTTATATTAATGGCTAGTGTGAATCGCTTTTAGAATTGAACTCTAAAGTCAATGCATCTTTGCAAGTAATTTAATTTTCCCTGGTGTGAAGTGACATAGGGCAGCCCTTGCTGTAAACCACAGCTGGGGGCTGCTTTTCGTTTATTTTGAGCAGAGCCGAAAATGACCTGACTGGATAACAAAGTATATAAAGGCAGTAGTTTATAAGACATTTATGTGGTTCTGTTATTATTTTCAGAAAAAAATCCTTGTGTGGTTTGTTGATGATGCTCTCCCTGTCTGATTTATATTTTTTAGAAAACGTTCTTTAATGGGTAACTTAAAAGTGTATAGGGGCTTCACCCATAAAATATGACTTGCCTTGAATTAAGTGATTGATGGCCTTCAAATGAAAAACGAATAAATACGACTTATCCCAGTGTCTTGGCCAACAATCCCCCAAACAAAATTTGTTGTTCACTCCATAGCTGTTTGTGGGACTTTGCTATTTGAAAATTGGCTACCAACAAAACGCACACAGTCCAGTATATCCTATGAAGTGCTGTGAGATGTCTCGACAATGTGATAAGGCACTATATTAAATGCAAGGATTATTATAATTTATTGTTCCCACCCCCTAAAATTTTCTCCCTCCTCTTCTGAAGACCCTGACGTGCTGGGATTTGGATTCACAGGTGTCTGCTGTTCTCAGGTATATTGGTACATTGTTCAAATTATCAATTTTCATATTAAGATGATCGGGGGGGGGGGGGAAAGGACGCAATGAAAAGATTGCTGGTTTTAATTGATCGGTGTATAATGGACCACCACATGTTAGTCTGGATTGTGATTCTCAGCAGAGATTTAACCATGGGAGCCTCACAACCTCATCCAATCTTGTCTTCAATCCTGATACAATTTCAGGGGTGAGGGGGTTGGTTCACCTGCCCTCCATTCTGAGGTGCTTCTGCTAACTGTATCTCCTCAACTTAGATCGACTATATTTTATTTGGGAACTGAACGTAACGTGTTATGAGGAAGATATTCCCAAGTGCTACTGAAGAGTTAAAAATTCAGCCTGCAGAAGTCAGCATTATATTGTATCCATAAACTTGATGGAATGTGTGAACCACAGCAGGCGGAGTAGGCTGTACAAGTGGTTTCACCAACTGCTGCCAACAGACATTAAAAGTTTGATTAGTGATTTCTTAGGAACAAACTGAATGCTATGTTCGGTTACCAAGCTAGTGATTTATTTCAGCCATCCCATCCTTATTCTGGTGTTACTCAAGATAGTAGAAAAGCTCTATTTATGCCAGTACATTATTATTTGCTGAGTCATGAATCTCCCTCACCTTTTAGGCTTTCATCAAAAGAAATCATCTCAAAACCAGAAATTTGCACAATTCGAATGTCATTTTTTACCATTTAAAGCCCTTTCATCAAATATACAAGAATTGCAATGAAATGTGCTTTTAAGTAGTAGTAGGATGGAAGCATTTAGTCAGTTGTTTGTGACTTGAGTTCCTGCCATTTGTGCTTTCAGGAAGAGTGGGGAGGAGGGAGATCCAGGACATGGAAGGCTGAGCCTCCAATTTCCCCTCCCATCCCCCCATTTATTCCTATTTACCTGCAATACCGAATAGTTGGCTTACTTAATGCCTTAACCCAAGTCCTCAAGTGAGAGGCCTTTGCAAAGAGACATGCCTGCCATGACGACAGCTGCAGGAAAATGTTAACTATTGTCCTAGTTCATAAACGCACACTTATATGTTAGCA